TGACAGATAAGTGGACAGTTGATGGAGGAGCATTGGTGCTGATGCAAGTTGAGGAATCCTCATCAGCAGGACCAGTAGGTAGAGGTTCATCCTGCACCTCCAAAGGATGGATATCACCAGTTTGGTTTGGAAGAGATGGTACTGGCACAGAATGAGATGGAGATATGGTACGTTCTTTGTCAGTACCAGAAAATTTACCAGCATATGTTGGGGCATGTGATGGGCAAAGAGAAGAACTGTGATCCCCCTGACACACGTCACAAGTGATGGTACATTTGTCCTCCTCGTGAACAAATAGCAAACAATGGGAGCACTTTGGAGTATCACATTGGTTTGCTAAATGGCCTTCTAGACCACAACGGCGACACAATCGTCGCATACCTGCATAACTTACTATGACTTTGTAATTCCCAATCTTAAAAAAAATTGGGAATTGGAGTTGTCATGTCAATTCGTATTCGTCTATTACCGGTGCAGACTCCCGGGCGGGATGGATAACACTCATATTCTATTTTGGAGACTTTGCCATCCTGTTGTAGTGCCGTACTAATTATGGCATGGGGCTGAACGTAAAGTCATCCACTTAAAGTTCTGTCCCGCAGGACTCACAGAAACGGGAGCATCATTCAGGGTGAATGACCCCGCCTAATAATTGATGTGCCACAGCCAGAGTGAAAAGTGTGGCAATATAACGTCCAGCACCGAAGTGCTGGAGGCAGTCCACAACACTGCCCCCCAGGCTCTCACATAAAGAGTCAATCACCTTGGAGGGTAAGGTGTCTGTAGGCACAATAAACATGACCGACCGTAGTCGAATCAGGGGGTGGCGGAACTCATTTCGGCCAACCCTACAAAAATTAAAGAAGTCAAAAAATCTAAGTAGTCACTAAAGCACAAAATTAGAAACGAAGACTATACTCACAAATCGCGCACTCGAACAGGTAAACACTGTTGAAGAGAAGACTAATCATAGTATCTGTCCACACAGTTCCAGGCTCGGCCCCACTGAAGATTTGAAAGAATGAAGACC